AAAAATTTTGAAAATTTCATAATAAAATATTTAAAATTTCCAGCTTCAGCCGTTTCCAGCTTCAGCCGCAACAATTAATACTCCCATGATCTTGAAATAGTGATCGGGGTATTATTAGAAAATAGGCCTAGATACCGGTAACATTTATTTGACGATTAGTTGGTATATCACCTGTAACCTTGGTACTACCATGTAATGAAAGCTCTTGGGTGATCCAAATCCAAGGAACTTGAATTATTGAAACCTATTTGGCAAGACCTAAGCAAGGAGGTAATAAAGATCTTTGAGGATACTGTAGAAAGCCAGAACTGGAGACCAAAGAACCTGATGAAAATCCTGAAGCAAAAAGGAACTACCAACCTGGCTGACAGAGTCACATCAGAGAAAAAGGTCCTATACTATGGAATTAGGAACCAAGGAAAGTAAAACCAGAAGGCTTCTAAAGCTGAGGTACAGTAACCAATCTGGGTTAACTGGTTTAGTAGTGTCGTGTAGTTATCCAACTACATATTTCTTTACTAAAATTTATAGATCTTTTCACACTTTGTTTTCTCTTATACCAGCATATCATTCAGGTACTAACCACCAAAACAAAGATAACACAATTACATGGTTTCTTAACTAAAGATTATTTTAGAAAACCTAATTGAGAATTTAAACTTCTGGTCGATTCTCTTAAAGGATCACAACCCTTATATATTATTAATCATTGCATTACCATTATATGAATTAGACTTTTAATTAATTTAAAATCATGCAAAACCTGATTATGCCATAGATTGGATCACATTATATGAACTGATTACATGGTGTACCAAAATGCATCATGACATAAACTTACCTCCTGTACTTCATCCCCAAAGTACAATTCCTACCAACACCTCTAAATTTCCAAACTCTTTCCAACCACTTCTCACAATAAATCTCTAGACTGTCTTTATCTATAGTAGGTATTTCACATTTACTAATGTTTCCTGTTATCTTTTCAGGTGCTACCTCACTAACAATAGCCTCGATTTTATCATCCACTTTAACACCATCACCCACGACTGTATCACAATTAATTTGTTTAATATCAACATCTCTCATTTTGGCATACACCATATTCCCTTTTACACTTTTCCATATATCGTTTTACTGTCCACTACCAGCAACAAACTACCAAGAAATTCACAAAAACAGATACAAACAGCATCAGCCTATTACAATTAACATTTGTAGACCCATGTTGTAGAACCTTTATACATTCACTCTTTTTAATTTCTATTTCATTTTGATTACAATAACCATTATCATCCATTCCATTAGCATTTTTCATTACAACAGTTTCGACCTTTTTGATTTCTCCAGCACAACTCATATCAGCAGGCTTCTGAGAATCATTAAATAGCTCATGTTCATTGATTTCAATTCTAATACTATTATGACAACAATATCTGAACTCGTATGTTCCATCAGCACTATTTATTTCTGCTGATTTTTGAACTTTAAGGGCAGGGAGAATGTAGATTATTTTTCATATGATTTTGGTGGTACAATAGGATTTATATAGAAATTGAAAATATGCTACTAATAAACCTTTTTACAGTTGTAATTAATTTTAACCAAAATTTTATAAAATATAGAACAAAATGTTCTTTTTATAGTAGCAAAGTTTTAATAAATAAAACTTTTAAAAAATTTATACTTTTATATATTGTAAAGTTTCCCCAGTTGGCTTAAATTTCTCCTGGTTACACAAAACAATTAATTTTGATTGGTTGATATCATATGATCATCATATTATTTTTGTAAACAATTTATGATACTCTATTTTTAAACACCCGGTTCTCAATGAATATTTAACCAATTTTAATAAATTTACTATCATTAGAATCAGAAGAATCTGTTCTACAACTTTCAATTAATTTTTAAAAGTAGTTTACTTAATAAAATAATTTTTAATTTTTAATTGAAAACAATTTTACAATATGTTTTATATATAATTTAAAAATTGTTCCCCCTACCCTTAATGGATACCTTGCATTCATTCCTTTCAACTACAATTCCATTTTTATTGTAATAATCACCAAGTTCAGTCATCTCATCTACACAATCCATCTCTGCTAATTTGTGATGAGTCAAAGCCTTATACTCATCATTTTTAACATTTCCATTTTTGTAGCAATAACCGAGATTGCCTTTTCCATTATCATGACCCATCTCTGTAGATGTTTATAATTAATGAATGCTTTATATTCGTGCTTTTTATTAATTCAATGTTGATAATGATGTCCAATTTCATACTTCACATCAGCATAACCCATCTCAGCTAACTTTTAATAATTAATGAATGCTGAATATTCATACTTTTCAAGACCGATTCCATCTTGATCACAATTTCCAAGATCATATGTACCACTAACATGATTCATCTGAAAAGATGATTGATGATGAATGTGTGCTTTATGATCCTCCTTTTCAACATCATTCTCATAATCTCTATTATTTATAGCTAATAGCCTTTGATCAATTTTAACTTCTATATCATTCAACCAACGATTATCCACTTCAGCAATTGTATCATTATTGTTCTCAGCATCTTCAGGCTTGTTGCAGTGTCTTTCATTAATTTTATATTCCCAGTTTTTGGCACTACTAAAATATTCATTTATTATATTATAGGCATCATATTCGCCATCCATATGCTTGTCCATTTCTATACCAATTTCATCTTGAAAATTATAAGCAAGGCTATTCATTTCAATAGCATTTTCCATCTTGAGCGATTATTGACAACAAATGAATGCTTAATCATCTTTTTCAACTTCAGGTATGTTCTTTTTTTTAACTCCAATTCTTTTGACTTCAATGTCAGCTTTAACTAACGTATTGTCTATTCCAATTCCTTGCATTACATCATCGTTGATTTCTGTTTTTAATTCCAATGCCTATTCTTTGCTTCATTATATGATATTGGACACATTAATTCAACCTCCTATCAGACGATTCGCATAACCCACCTATATACTAATACAACTCTTCATAGTCTTTGATTATTCCTTTTACCAGAGCCACAAAAGTCTTATAACAGTAAGTATATGACAATATAGATTCATGGTCCTTTTGCTTTATACTCCACACCTTATTAATCTTTTCCTCAACTTCTATAATCCCTTTAATTATTGCCTTCTTCAAACTGTACTACATATTATATGTTTTGATCATCCTACATATCTATAGCCTTTGACTCTTCAATATATACAATACAATCCTTTTTTATTTCACATTATCATTCAATCTTTTTAATTCACAATATTTTTCATAATTCCAAAGAAAGTCCACCAATTTGACAATACTACAATCATAAAATAGCTTTTCAAGATCATCAAATGTTGAACACATCACACCACTACTTCATATTTTCCAGGTAACAACATTCTTTGTTGTTTCATTATATTCATACTTATTACTAATGTCTTTCTTTTACTTGCAAATATATTTCAAGAGAATCTCCACTAATCAGTGAAACCTTAACGCTTGTTTTATCAGGTCTGCGAGTTTCACCATTTCTTATACTTCTCTTTCACAAATTATCACCTGGAGCTTTCAAGTCCACTAATTTAAGAACTTAACTGATATTTCAGCAAGCTTACTGTTCGCTTACCCAGGTCCTTCTGTTATGTAGTTATCTAACTACCTATTGCTTTACTAAAATTTACTGATCTTTTCACACTTGGTTTTTTCTTATACTGGTGTATCGTTCAGATACTAACCACCAAAGCGAAGACAATATAATTATATAGTTTTTTAACTAAAAGTTATTTTAGAAAACCTAATTGTAAATTCAAGCTTCTTGTCGATTTCCTTAAAGGATCACAACCCTTATATATTATTAATCATTACATCACCATTATATGAATTAGACTTTTAATTAATTTACAATCATGCAAAACTCGATCACGGCATAGATTGGATCACATTACATGAACTGATTACATGGGGTATCAAAATGCACCATAATATGTGTCACAGGTTAATAAGTAACTTTTGCTACAAAATAACCTAGACCAAATAGCAAGCTTTCATTATGCCAATTATAAGTTTATTTACAAAACAATTCTACTAGATTATAATACAAGGCAAATATTTGGTTTTCTTATTTAAATGAACTTTATTAATTAAGTGAGAGACTAATTCCAACTAACTAACTTAATTATTACAATCCTTCTACTATATACATACTTTGAGTCACGTTATTTATATTATAATTTGCTTATATGATCATATGATCGTTTACTCTTATATTACTAATAAATTTACCTGATATTTCATGCATACTGATGACCTTACATTAGTAATGTCAATTTTTGCGGGCAAACAATTTATGAAAGCCGGCCAAATAGCCAACTGGCCAACAGCCAATAGCTAATGGCCAAAGTTCGGCCAAAAATTTTTAATATATATAATTTAGCTAATTATATTGCTAGTTTTACTATATAAATATTTGGCCATTTTGGCCAAATAATTTTTTATGCATTTTGGCCATTTTGGCCAAATAATTTTTTATGCATTTTGGCTATTTTGGCCAAATAATTTTTTATGCATTTTGGCCATTTGGCTACGGCCATTGGCCGGCCAAATAGCAAATTAGCAACACTGCCTTATGTAATACTAATGGTTGCATAATTGATCATTACTCGATCTCTTATTACCAATTAATTACGTATTTGTCATGTATATAACATGCACAAGATAATAATCATTTGTTCATTTTACCTTCATTCTTATACCAGTTTACCACATACTGTAAATCACCATAACATGAACTAGATCTTCAGAACTTTGCCCAAAGTTTTTAATTCCTTTTGCATACTTTTCCTAAAGACATCATCAATATTACTAAATCTAATTTAACAGTTACTTTTTACTAATGATCCCTTTTCCTCGATTGAATACACTTCTCATTATTTGATCACCACTCTTAATATCAAGTTGTATATTTGAATCACTATCTGCAGTGGGCTCCCAGTATTATCCAATAATTTTATTATCAAGATCTCTAAAGTTTATATGCCAATGCCATTTGGACAAATCCACACCACAATCAAATTCATCAGAGTCATCATTCCTCAATACTTTCAACAGATCTTCCACTATCTCCTCTCTTTTTAGTACTACATTTGTTTCAAACTTTGTTTCAGCGAATTTAACGTACAAGATCACTTCACTACTTGGCTCAGGTAGAGATTTTAATTTTTCATTGTTTGTTTGTTGTATCTTACTACTATTTATATTAACTACCACATTTATTTCTCTATTTTTATTAATTATTTTCTTCTTCACCTTATTGTTCATCACCGCCTCCTCTGCAACTTACCCAATATCAATTAAATCTTTTTCAATAAACACATTAAACATGCTTTCAGGTTCCCTTTCATCCATCTGATCGGATTCATCAAAATCAATTAAACTAATCTCTTTATTAACTTAACTTCATTGCCAGTCAATTCTTCCCAATCATAATAACCAAAATCATATGTCTCATTACCACACCAGACATCTGCAGATTCACCATCACTATTCTTCATATCTGACAACAACCGGTTGACTTCAGCTTCCAAGTCATCCAACTTTTGATAATCTACCTCACTAATTGATTCATTACTTTCAATATCATTTTCTTTAGTGTTTTCTGTCTCTAATCCAGCTTGATTAAAATCACCGCTCCTGATATTATCATAAAATATTTTGAATAAGTTTATACCATGATTTGTGCAGCAGAATCCAAATTCTTGTCAGATACCTTGCTTTTATTATTACTGATTTTTTTGTTAATCATCACATTTGCAATTATGTCTTTACTTCTTCCAGCCATCCCATCATATTTGTCCACATTTTTAACACACATATCTTCCTCTTCTTCCATGTTCATGTAACTCAATATCAGGTTCATCTTGTGAACTGTTGATATTAATTCATTGCAAGATTGACTGGTAATTTGCCCAGGTTCTTGTGTCATGAGTTAATAAGTAACTTTCACCATAAAATAATCTAGACCAAATAGCAAGCTTTTGTTATGCCAATTATAAGTTTATTTACAAGACAATTCTACTGGGTTATAATACAAGGCAAATATTGGTTTTCTTATTTAAATTAATTTTATTAATTAAGAGAGAGACTAATTCCAACTAACTATTCAATTATTACAATTGCTTCTACTATATATATACTTCAGGTTACATTACTTACATCATAATTTGCTCATATAATTATATGATCCTTTAACTCTTATATTACTAATAAATTTACTTGATATTTCATGTATACTGATGACCTTATATAATACTGATGGTTGCATAATTGATCATTACTTATCTCTTATTCCTGATCAATCACTTACTTGTCACATATATCATATGCACAAGATAATGATCATTTGTTCATTTTACCTTCATTCCCATGGCAGTTTACCACATACTGTAAATCACTATAACAGTAGTTTCAAAGGGATTGGTTAAAGAAATTGTTGATGAGGTAACAAACCTTAAAGGGTATAAATACTAGAATTGTATAGTTTAATGGTTCACCCTAACTGCTAATAGTGGTTTTAGTTGCTATAGAAGGTATTTGAAACCTAATCTAGAAATGCATGAAATATAGAAAGATTAGAGAGTATGTACTATACCCTATCAGTAGTATAAAAACCTGACTGCTCCCTTCTATTAACAATTCATACTCTAATCTTACTTTACACCCATCTTAACCTGTCTTCTTTATTAATATTAGCTCTAAA